CCTCTTATAAAATCCAAGTTGTTCAAAGGATGATGTAAAGTTTGCACTTCATCTCTATTCTTCCCCTGAAGTGAAGACTCAGAACAATACATTTCATTTTCATGAAAGACCACATCAAGGGTAACATAAAGCTTTCGAGAAGGGGGTGATAACACCGATAACCTTTTTGATGCAAGGCATAGACAAAAAATACACATTGAAGTGCCTGAAGTTCCAACTTAGTTCTCAAGCCTTTGTGAAGATGCACATCCAAAAACTTTAGGGGACAAATTTGGTATGGTAGGAGCACTTATAGTGTGATGAAGGACATCAAAGGGAGTTTGAAATTGTATGGAACTAGAAGGTACACGTTGATGAAGTAGGTTGTAGCGGTGACGACTTCACCCCAATAACTGGTGGGCATGTGCGCTCCAAACAAGGAAGCACGAAGCACCTCAAGAAGATGACAATTTTTCGTTCGGCTATTCTGTTTTGTTGAGGAGTGTAAGGGAAAGTAGTCTGATGAACAATGCCATGTAAATTCAGGTACTATTTCAAGTCTTGATCGATAAACTCGCCTCCATTATCAGTACGGATAACCTGAATGATAGATTGATATTGAGTTACTATCATTTTGTGAAATTGTTGAAACAGGGAACTCATTTCATTCTTTGATTTCATCAAGCAAATCCAAGTCATACAAGTGTGATAATCAATAAATGAAACAAACCAACGTGCTCCACTCAAAGAAGAAGTATTTGCAGGCTCCTATACATCAGAGTGAATAACCATAAAAGGAACATGACTTTTGTTCATACTAATGGGAAATGGAACACGATGACTTTTAGCCAGTTCACAAATGTCATACTTAAAATCTAAAATAGTCAATTGCAAAAAAAAAACTGTCGAAACAATTTCTGTAAATATCCAAAAGATGCATGGCCTAAATGCCTGTGCCATAACTAGATTTTTGAAGTCTGAAGTTTATCAAGTGTATTAGCTGAAAAACCTTGAGCCAATTGATTTGAGCTTGTCAGCATTAGATCAAGATAGTAGAGCTTCCTTCTCCTAGTACCATAACCAATTATCTTCCGAGTCCAATGTCCTTAAAGACACAAGGTTAGGACAAAAAATCACAACAAAATTTAAAGTAAGGGTTATTTGAGCAACAGACAATAAGTTATGATTAAGGGAAGGGACAATTAGAACTGAATTTAAATTCAAATTTTTTGTAAGAGAAATTGAACCTTCTCCTAACACGAGAGAGAGCTTACCATCGACTGTGGACACTATATGTTGGTATGAGGATTTTATGGATTGAATATGATTATTGTCAAAGGTCATGTGATTTGTGGTACTTCAATCAATTATCCATTCACTATGACTAACAGAGGTACAAGAGCCTTACCCATATTCCCAGAAGTAACAATGAAAGAGGAAGCTTTCGCAGGATTACTGGTGGAAGCATGACTAGCTCGACCACAGCAATAGAAGCATGACGTTTGTCTTTGAATTCCGTTTGTGAGGTGCTTTGGCAAAATGCCACCATTCTGGATATCCAATTAATTCATAGCGCCTTGACTTAGTGTGTTCGGTTCCACCACAATGAGTACACATACGTTTTGGTCGTGCAACTCCTATTTTGTAGCTGCGATTTTGTGATCCAAACGGATGATTACGATCATGATTCAGTGGACCAAAATTTTGATCTGGTTTCGAGTTTGTTTACAGTTGTTGATACTTGACTTGGTGAGCTACTATAGCAGATGGCTCTAAATGTTCAGGTTCGCTATTTAGTGCAACTCGGTGAACAGAATCACGAAGAACATATGCATAAGTTTCTTCAAGATCCAATACTAGATCCCTCATGAGAATCTCACCTTGAATTTGTTCAAATTCTGCATCTAGTCCATTTAGAAAAATATGCACCCGTAGTCTCTCAACTGATTTTTTATAGGCAATAACATCATTGGGATCTTTCATGACAATTTTATCATGATGATCTAGCTCTTGAAAAATTTCTATCAGATCACCATAATAGGTGGAAAGAGGACAACCAACCTGTTTGGTAGAGAATGCTCGTTGATTATGTGGAAAGAGTTACGATTTATCTGCCTCATCATAGAATGCTTTGGCAAGAGTAGTCCAGATTTCACTTGCAGTAGACAATCTAAGATAGCGTTTCATAATCTCCAGTGACATAGAGGCCAGTAACCATCCTTTGACCTTTTGATTCTCAGCATACCATTTCGTAAAGGAAGTATCAGTAACCTTCAGAGATGTTTTACTTGTAAGATATTCAAGCTTCTCATGCCCTGCAATCTGCATTTCCATGATTTGAGACCAAACATCATAATTGGTTTCGGTTGGATGACATTGGTTGTGAAACTGGGGCTTTTTGATTGAACATGGATAACTGGTATAGAGGATGATTCGGGTTTGTCATTAGTCATGGTGCGAGGGATATATGAGAATTCAGGCTGTGATGATATAGAATGGATAATAATACGTGCTTTGATACCAAGCCAAAAATACAGAGTTTGTGAGGAGAATACTCCTATAAATTTTTCTATTATTGGTTGGGCATACATAGCCACTGTACAAAGCTTTAGATCCTATAGTTTAGAACTAATTGTCTAACTATAAGGAAACTATAGCTATCAAGATACAATCACATATTTATAGGGATTCTAGTAATTCTAGTCTATTTGTACAACTAGTAATAGAGACAAATTAGGGGCTAGAATATTGGAGAACCAACTTGGAGATAATTACTCTTGATTGTCAACAGTTTGTGGCCTTGTTAGTCTGGAGCCTGGCATTCCTCTCTCTCTAGATGGAGTAGACTGCCACTATGATGTGGGGAAGTGGGTAAAAATAAAGGTGTATAATAAACGAAAGGGGATAATGAAACTATACTGTTGATTTGCGCATAATACTGGTTTAGAATCCTATTCCAAGTCCGTTAATTTCACAGAATACCAGTTCTAAAGGCTTCAATTGATTTGTTGATTCTTAGGAATGCCAAAATAATTAGGAAGAAGATGTGACAACTCTCTTAATACTGTTTGCATAGCAGACACCCCAATTCCAAATTGGCCATGAATGTGTGTAGCCTGTCCTTAGTGCTCAATCTTCCCCTAATGGCCAACCAGAGGATTGAAGACATTCGTGGAATAGCCTGACCAATCCAAATGATGTGATTCCATAGTACATTCTGATTTGGGTCCCTTATTAGATTCCAAGTAGAGGATGTTGAGAATATGCCAGTAGCTGTTGCAGACCATCTGACCCTGTCCTCATTTTGTTCTGATGGCTGGTAGATGGGCATATTAGCTGAGATTTCCCTGAGTTCAGCAGCTCCATTGGAAGACCAGTTCCACTTGTTGTTAGCCACAACTTTCTCCACCTTGTCCTCCATGAGTTGTTGTTGAGTCCTCCACTATGTTTCTACCAAATTTCAGGAGCATTGGACCTAAAGGCCGCCAATTATCATGCCACACACTTGTGTTCTTACCATTACCAAATTTCAGGAGCATTGGACCTAAAGGCTGCCAATTATCATGCCACACACTTGTGCTCTTACCATTGCTAATGACACTTTGTACATATGGTCTAATGGAATCTCTTAGTTTCAGGAGATTCAACCAATTCCAAGAGAATCTAAATCAATCATGTGTAGATTTTCTTATTCTCCACAAATAACCTACTACTTGAAAATCATGTGCAAGTATGGCAATGGATCATAAATCCACCCATTGACTTTCTACAATCTGTATGGATGCCAAAAAAAAAAAACAACACTGCTATGCTGACCAAGATTGTTTACCAAAATTTTCATCCTAAGTGTTGTGGCATAGTTTTCACCATCGAATAAGTGGGTCCCATTAATATTCAATGATGGAGATTGCACCACATCATTTGAGATGAAAAATTTGGTAAGCATATATTATTATTTTTTTAAAGAGTAATGCTATTTGAACTTAAAAATTTAAGTTAATTTGTTGACCTAATAACGTGGTTTCATTGTAACCATTTCATTGACACTAAGTTCCTATGTTTAATGAGATCCACAGTCAACCCAAGAATTATAAAAAATTAAGTTTAAATAACATTGCTCTTTTAGAAAAGATATGATTGATGTAACATTCAACTGATTTGGAATCCGGATAAAAAAAAACTAATTTTGAATAAATTATAGAAAATAGGGTTTAATTGTCCTAGTAAAATTTGATTCAACTTAATTTAAAATTTGATACAACTTAAGGATGCAACAGTGATGAAGACTAAACCCTATTGATCATTTTCTATAAATGGAATAAGTTCCAATATGGATAATATGTTGTTGATTAGCTATTGATTTTGTTGCCCATTAATAAATTGAGTTGATTATGATTTGGATTGAAATCATTTTCATTACATTTTCTCTCACCAGTAAATAGTTTATCATAAATTCAAGTGAGACCCACTATTTATGAGTGAGTCTTTCACCCATATATGATTTTGTGATCTACCATTAACCCACTACCCTTCATGGCCTGCCCTAAGGGTAGGCCATTAATGTGGCTGTTTAGGATCCCTGAATATTACAAATCCTCAAGAGCCACAATCATAGTATTATTTATGTTATTATTACGAGTTGAAGTGGATCCATATATTAACCTGATCACACGGGTCGATCTAGTTATGATATAAACCCATTATAACTAACTTTCCAATACACTTTACCTTCCAAAAAAAAGAAAACTTTGTGCTGATTTGTGTCAAAATAGGAGATTATATTAATCCTTTAATAGTAAAAGGATTACTCTTACCACAGATGGAGCTTATACAATACACCTTATGTTTTGTCCATTATATATATGGGGTAAACTTGATCAACGTAAAAAACCACACTAGACCATATCAACATCGAGGCATGATGACTATGTCCAGCCAATCTTTCGTATTTCTCGCCCTAGTATTTTTCATAATTTTTCGACCGACGTGGGGACAACCACTTGACGTAACGTTCGACGTACACGGAGGTCCTCCCTGGGTCTTTTGTTCCCAGGCCCTCGCACCATTGAATCCATGCGAGATTCTGCCGCCTCAATACCTCCTGAGAGTTTGAGGTGGAGATCCTCACAGGACAGATCCAACCTGCACCTCTTGTTTCCTTAAGATCTCTCCTCGGGGGCTCACCCTCCATATTGCTGAGGTGCGCACTTCTCACCCAGGCGTTCATGCAAGCTCCCTCCGGGGCTTCCTGACTTGCACCCCGGGAATCACTCCAGCGGATATTTCGGTCTTCACTCCTACTATTGCGCCAACTGATCCCCCTCACTGCTTGAAATCGTCAAGTCAGGTCCGCACATTGGCGTTATCCTTCTCAAGCTGCTTCAAATTGTTCCCCATCTGTTTCTCCATCAACCCAACGATCTCCTGAGCCAAGACTCCTGGCTCTGGTCTATCGGTAATGTTTGTTGTGAGATGCGTTGTGCTCCATCCAAAGGCTAAATAAGGGTGACTCAATGACTGCTAGGGGCCGGTTAGCTTCCGTGTTTCTCATGCGTGGGCTATCCCCTAGGCTACCTTGAGACTGCATGTTCACCATAATGCTATCACTATGAGGAAAACTGATCCTTTGATTCCCACAGATGGCGCAAAGTTGCACGGCTGCTTTTCTGCAATAAGTTGAGATAGCGATCCGCTAGATGATGACCATGAAACAATCATAGTTAAAAGTTAAGTATGATTTGTATGGTTTGGTGATGGCGTTTATGGCCTAACTTTATAACTTTTTCATGGCTAGTATTTGACAAAGCCAAAGACTTGAGCATTGAAAATTTAATGGTGAATTTGAAGTGTTGAATATTTAATCTATTAGTTTTAAAATCGGCCGGTATATGCTAAAATTTAGATGCTAAATTGGATCAAATTATTTGAACAATAAGAATAAAATTATTAATTTGCTAATTTTGCCCTTCCCCTTTACCACCCACCCCACCCCATAGCCAGTACACTTCCCCACCACCACCACCAACCCCCAATAATCGCTACCACATCATCCCCACCCTACACAAATCATCCACACCAGCATCATAATGCGATCCACTGGCCAACTTGGTGAATAAATAAGTCTTGTATGAATTAGGTCAATTTTGGCATAATACAACTTATTTAATTTGGACATTGGGCTGTCAAGGTACGACCACTGCCACTGCAAAGCGAGGTAAAGAAAAGATGACTTCTTCATTGACTAGCATAAAATATTTTTACCAGTGATAACCCAGCTAAAGAAAAGATCACTCCTACGTCAAAACAATAATTTGTAGATCAAAGTCAGCAGAACGTTAGTGTTGACAACAAAACCTACCAGGTTCATGCCATCAATGGATTCAAAAACAATACAAACCCACTGATCATTTGTTGACAGTTCAAAGATCATGATCTTAGAGAGCATGCCCTTTACGTGGATAAGGAATTTTGTTGGCGTACTTTTTTTGATCAAATTTTCCCGTGGTGTGTCACATCCTGCCTTCTAGAAAGTTTTAGAACCTTAGAATGAGTTTTTTAATTTTAAGACCCCCTTGATGAAATATTATAAAGAAAGCTAGAATGGGTTCCTTATTCTTAAGCCTTCTTGGAGGAAGATTGTAGCAGATAGACAAGATATAGAGAGTCCAAAGAAAATAACATAGATGCATGACACTTGTGTAGATAATAAGCACACATTGTAAGGCTAAAGGCCTATAAATAGGCGGCGAGTTCTCATTTACACTCACCAAACAACCAAGCAGCAACCAAGAGGCAACAACCAACACAAGTTATAATCTTCTTGTTTTGTTCACTTTGGTTTTGCAGAGCAGCTGTGGTCTTGGCCTTTCCCTTCATGCCACAAGTGGCTAATTTATGAGATAAGAAATTATGTCAGCAGTTAGTCACTACACTCACATGATTTATTTCCTAATCACTAATACCCTATCCCACTATAGACCATAAGAGCATGGAAAGCAGTGTTGGAAATGTTAGTTGGGTGCATGTGGATTTGATGATAGGCCATCCGAAGGTCTACTGGTTTATCCAAGAGTTCATCGATGACTGAGATTGAGAACTTATCCTTGATGGTTATTTGGTTCAAGGCTCTATAGTCAACACAAAGCCTCCGAGATCCATCTTACTTTTCACCAGTAATATTGGTGATTAATAAGGGCTATTATTGGGCAGAACAATACCAGTTGCAAGCGTATCCTTCACCTATCTCTCAATTTTGGTATTTTGAAGATGTCGATAATGATAAGGCCAAACACTTATTGGTCCATTTCTTAGCATCAAATGAATTTGAGGATCAAATAATCTGGTTGGCGGCAATCCCTTTGGTTCATCAAATACTCCAAGATGTTTTGTAAACTTGAGTTTAGTTGAGTAGTGAGTGCTGGTGTAACCTCCGTTGAGAGAGAGTAAAGTTGTGAGAGAACACAACATCCATTCATTTTTGCTTCCTTGCTGATATAGAAAACCTAGGTGGTGTCCTCCATTTGACCATGAGAAAATTTCATTTATATTTTAGAGAAATCCCCACAAGATGGGACCGAGTGTTCTCAACCATTGTGCTCATCATAACCTTCCAAGGAAGGAGGTAAAAATCTACAAATATAGGAACTCCTTGAATTACTATATGCATGGCTTGACATTTTCAAGAATTGGCCAACTTTTCACCATTAACAACAACATTAAAACTTCTTTCTTTTCTTAATTGAAAATACATTCTTTTAGCAACTTTTTCATTCAAAAAATTATGGGTACTACCAGAACCTATTAAAATAGTGAGTACCTGACCCCCGATTTACCTTTCACTTGCATGGTTTGTGGAGCTTGTTTACCATAGATGACATGTAAGGAAATTTTGGGCATGTCATTGGTAGCATCCCGTGGTTGTGGTTCAATTGCATGGTGTGGTTTCAAATCTTCTTCATCAGACTAGGATCTTTAAATAAGAAACAACTTGGAATCGAAACTGCTTTGTCCCCTCTTTCCCCACTTCGTGGATTGGGGCCCTATCGTGCAAATTCTCGTTGTTGGAAGCTACTGTGTTGACCCTAGGGTTATTAGGGAGTGCCTTACTAGTATCCCTCACCTCTACCGTTATTTCAATTTATCTTTCTCCTGTCCAATCATGTCTACCCCTTTCAGAACTACTCATTCCTCTGCTTCTCTCTTGGGGGAAAGGTCTGCCGAAGAGGACACTAATTTAGGGGATGTGGGTGAGAAAATTAACAGTTTCCCCAGTGTTGATGTTGTCGAAGCCGAGGAGAATACTGAGGAACCACCCTCTCCTAATCCTAACAAAGGTAAGGGCAAGGTAAGTGGGATAGGAGTCTCTGACAGTGCAGCGGGCACAAGAGCTGCCTTTAGGCATGTTGAGCTCGTAGGACCTAGTGAGGTTGACCCTTCTCTTATGAAAAATTTTAGTAGTCATTACGGTTTTCCTCTTGGTGTCCAAATAAATACACCTCATATGTTACCCAAGTTCATAAGAAAGTCTGTTTCTTCGTGGCCACTTTTGAGAATAGCCTTCATTTCCCTATGCACCCCTTCATCAAGAGTGTTTTGCAACACTTCAACGTCTCCCTACTCTGCTCTCCCCCAATTTCTGGGGTGTTCTAGTGGGTCTTCTAGTTTTATTTAAGAAACATGAGCTCGGGGTTCCCAGTCTTTACTTGCTTGTAGATCTTTTTAATGTCAAGCTCACCTCATCTCAGGGTTTCTTATATATCTCCAAGCGAACCACGGCTAGGCAGATCATTACTTACCTCCCGAGCTCCCATAAGGGTTGGAAGAAGTAATTTTTTTTCATTAGGGGCACCAACTGAGAGTACAACTCTGCTGATAGGACTGACACTCTTTGTATCCCTAGAGCTTGGTCCACCCCTGATAACTTTGGTGAGTCCTTGCTTGAACTGATTAAGTTCTGGTTTAAAAATTATCAAGTTACCTTTTTGACCTTTGTTCTCCTCGTATTATTTTTCAGGCATTAGACCTGAGCTCAGTGCTGAGGACGAGAAAGTGAAGTGGAAGTTGGAGAAGTGTAATCTAGAGAAGTACTCCGAGCTCATCAAGCCCTGGGTTTTAGTTACACAGGGATTTAGTCCTCCTGAGGTATCGATAGAAGCTCCACTCCCCATTTCTGTTGTTAGACCTGAAGACGTAGAAGGTAACACTTTCTGAGTTGATTTCCTTGCCTTCCCTTCTTTTTCCTCTTTCCTGTTTAACTAGCTTTGTTCAGATCTTCCAGAATCCTCTATAATGAAATCGACTCCTGAGGAACTCCAGACTAAGGTTGACCTACTAAAGAAGAGTAGGAAAAATGGCAAATGAAAGGCTGAGACCAGCTCTGGAGGCAACTTCGTTGACAGGGCTAAGGTATAAAAACTAGGAATGCCTTCTTCTCCTGCCTTGAGCAAAGAAGGACAAACTCTCTCATCTCAATCCCCGACTACCTTCTTTCCTCAAGGGGCCCAGCTTGCTCCCAAAAAGGCTTCTGAGCCAGGGCTGTTTTCCCCCACCTCTTCTGAGGTTGAGGGAGCCTTGGGGCTGGTTACTGGAATTCGGCTAGACTCCACTCCTCTTGGACCATCTGAACGACTATCCTAACTGCCTCTTTGGAGCCCCAAAGTCGAAAAAAAGAGGACTGGGAAACTGGTGAAGACTCCTTCTTTGACAACACTGAGTTAGCTGCTAGGGCCATTTCATTCATTCTTCCTAAATTCCGATATTCAGAGGGCCTTTACCATGCCCCCCGAGGCCTCTTTCTGCTCAGCTCTCTAGGGAACAACTATTGTAAGTGTTTTTACTCTCCCTCTTAGTTCGGTGCAGTTGACTTGTGCTGATCTGCACTCGCTTTCTTTTTTGCTCCCAGATGGCTCTCCATTTGAAGAACTTGATGGGCAGGGTCTGATCTTCAGAGGACTCTGCCAAAGCATTGAAGGCATACGAGTCCAAGGTCGTTGAGCTGACCTTTGACAATGAGAGCCTCAGAGCTCAAGTGCAAGAGCTCGAGGAGCAAATGGAGGCAAATGGAGAAGCAAGCCTCTGACCTCGAAGGCCTTCAAGAAGCTAAGGATAGGGCTGAGGAAAGAGAGAAGAAGGCTAGGGATGAGCTGAGGATAACTAGGGAAGAGCTACTACTCAAGACTAATGCCTGGACCAAAGCTAGCTAGGAAGCCTTTGATGCTCGGAGTTCCC